CTGCAGAAGAAGCTCAGTCTCTTGTCTAGCTAAAAGAGATCGAGCTAAGGTGAACAATTTGTTTCTCGCTTGCGCATGGGTCTTTGAATCACTCATTTTCTCGTTGTTTCTCTCTGTATTTTTTTTTTTTGCCCCATTTTGATTCAAATCTAGGGTTTTTGTTCTTCTTCTGATCGTCTCCTGGGTCACTTGATTTTTGTGTTTTACTTCAGTTTGAGCTTCTTGGTATGTTCACAGACGCAAGGATTTTGGTTACTTATGTTAGGGTTTGTTCTTCCCCCTCTGTTCGCCTTCTCCGAACTCAATAAAAAAAAAAGCTTTCATATTTGACATGTGTGGTTGATTTTGTAACAAATGTGCGCATTTCTGGAGACTTTTTTTGCTTAGATCTAATTGTCTTTTCCTGCATTTTCCCCTTTGATTTGGTTTCGTGGGTTTAGTGTTGGTGCTAGAAAATCTCATCTCGATTTTGTTGTTCTTTGTGAATCATGTTTGCAGAATTTGTAACATTGAAATTTCAGAAAGTCTTCTTCTTTGAGGGGTATGTGTGGGGGTTTGTTCACTGTTAATTGCTTTCTTATTAGTTTTGAATTATTTTTTGTTTTTTTAGAGCTCGCTGTGTTGGAAAGACAGAATCTTTGCAAACCAATGGAGAAAATAAAAGCTGATGCTTCTGGAATCTTGATCTGTGTCCGTAAATTGAAGGATTTACAGAAGCATAATGAGATGGTTGGAGCCAATATTGAGAAGAGGTCTCAAGAGCTAGAACTAAAGGAAAAGGAGCTGCAAAGTTTGAGCTTAGAACTTGAGGAAAGGTGCAAAATTTTCGAAAAAGAAAAGAGTGAGGCTGGTAATTTAAAGAAAATAGTGGAAAGCAGTATCGAGAAGAGGTCTCAAGAACTAGAGCTAAAGGAAAAAGAGCTGCAAAGTTNGAGCTTAGACCTTGAGAAAAGGTGTGAACTTTTCGAAAAAGAAAAGACCGAAGCTGGTAATTTAAAGAAAATAGTGGAAGCCAGTATCGAGAAGAGGTCTCAAGAACTAGAGCTAAAGGAAAAGGAGCTGCAAAGTTGGAGCTTAGACCTTGAGAAAACGTGTAAAAGTCTCAAAAAACAAAAGGCTGAAGCTGGTAATTTAAAGAAAATGGTGGAAGAAAACACGGAAGAACTAAGGTCAAATAGGAGTCAATTGATTGCTAATATGAACTCGTTGACAAAGTATCAGAGAGAGCTCGATGATAAGGAGATAATGCTGGGAGAGGTTATGGCTGAGATTAGGACACGTTCCAGTGAGGCTCAAAAGCTTCAAGATCGTGAGAGGGAAATAGAAGGAGAAACAAATAGAAAGAAGAAAGAGTTGGCAGTGATTCTTGCCCAAATTAAAGAATCAGGCAAGCAAAGACAGCTTAAGATGCGGTCATTGGAGCTAGTTTGTAAAGAGAAGGAGTTGGAATGTGTGAAAGAATCAATCAAGCTTTCAAAATCTGACCTTGAGCTGAAAGAAAAGAAGGTGCAATCGTTAAACAACTGTATAACAGTTTGTGGTCAAGAGATTGACTCGAGATCCAAAGAATTGGGGGAAATTCAAAAGATGATTGAACAACAAACCGGTGAGCTCGGTGTCATCAATAATCAGGTTGATTTAGCCAAGCTGTTTATCCGGGAACTTTCTAAAGAGCTTGACACTAAAGAGAAGAGGCATAAGGAGATTTTAGAGACAATTTGCAGAAGCTCCTCTGAAATGGAAGAAAAGGCTAAAGAGATTAAAGTAGCAGAGGCTGAAGCAAATGGTTTGTATGCAAGATCTCAAAAGTTTAGGAAGGAGGTTGAAGATAAAGAAAATGAACTAGATCTGCTTAAGAATCAGATAGAGTCAGAGGAAAAGAAACTTATTCAGCTT